CTTTAACATCTGCTTTTTTGTCCTCTGTTTCCTTCTTATCTTCTTCAATTCTAGCTTTCTTTGCTCCTTTCTTATGATCAGCCACATTTCTACAACCTTCTTCTCCTTCACCTTCAGAATCTAAAAATTCTTCATCACAAGCTATCCGCTTGTCCGATGCTCAAATAGAAATTCTCTTGTCTGGATCGTCTCCATCTTCATCTCCACTGTCTTCATGAACAGCACCTTCCAGAATAGCTTGCATTTGGACACCAGGTGCATGAGGCAACATGCGCAAATTTTCAAATAAACGCTCTTTTATCTTTTCCATATATTCTGGAGTGTTCTGGTTTGTCATGTTTGAAGGACTAATATGCAGTTTGAAGTCCGGTCCAAAATACTCAAAGTAATCATTATATGGCAACTCATTAGAAATCTCACAATCAAGGGCAACAGCAGTCTCATATGTCCAACATCGAGCAACATTACAAATTGTGTAGCCACCTCCTCCAAGCATCAGTGATAGTAAGTTAAAAGTTTTTACAACTTCAACACATTTCGCATGACCTTTGACTGTTAGATTGAAACAACCAAGTCTATCACCAGATAATGAGTCTGCACCACACTGTAATACCACAGCACTAGGCTGATACATCTCTATCACTTTTGAAATAATAGGCTTAAATATCCGCCCATATGACTCATCATCTATACCATCTCTCATTGGAAAATTGACAGCATAGTATTTTCCTTTCCCAGCACCAATATCCCTCAAGTCTCCTGTGCCAGGAAAGTATTCCCCATATTTATGGAATGGTACAGTCATTACACGATCTGTTGTATAAAAAGCTTCTTCAACACCATCACCATGATGGATATCTATATCAACATATATGACTCTCTGATGATACTTTAGTAATTCAAGAATGGCAAGCACAATATCATTAACATAACAGAACCCTGATGCTTCTGATTTTTTAGCATGATGTAATCCTCCAGCCCAATTAACAGCCATATCAGTTTGTTGTCTGTTTAACTTCATGGCCCCAGCAACTGAGCCACAGGTTGAGAGCTGACAAAACTCAAAGAGTCCATCAAACGCTGGCCAATCCTCTCCAACATTAAATCTCTGCATCTGCTTACTATACTCAGACGTGTTATCTGGTCTTATTGACCGTAGAAATTGTATATACTCATCACTGTGGTATTTTGTCATTTCTTCGGCAGTAGCTTTATGGGGCCTATATATTTCCATTTTTCTGTATAAGCCATAATTTAACAGCAAGTTATGGGTCATGCGGATTCTGTGCAGTTTCATGGGATGACCCTGCCCATAATAATAATTTCCAATATCACCATCGTAGTCGTAGCAGACTTTCTTCTTGCTGCCTCCTTGACTGTACGCATGGGTTCCCCGGCCACCGCTGCCTCTGGGCTCGACTCCTCTTGCTGCTCCAGAGGTGATTTGATCATGAAGGTTCTGCCCACATGAATCAGTTAATCCATTCATAGATTAATAGATTTATGTGTTAATGGATTAATTAATTAAAAGGAATAGCACTAGCAGCTTTATCAGAAGAGGAAGAGTGATCTGATCTAGCATGTTCAGTCTCTTCACCTCTTTCTTCACAAGGTGAAGAAAGTCCCCACTAGCAAGAAGGCCCTCACCAGACACACCTTCCCCAACCTTCGATTTCTCAGCCTCTATAATTGTAAGAAATAAATTCGAAATAAATTCTCCTTCTTCATAAATTACTAGTTTTAGGTATTGTGTTATAGGCAATGGAAAGTGGACAAAGACAGTCAGGATCAGGTCTAAGATTTTGCATTTAATAATCATCAGTAGCTAGAATCATTCCCATCCCAAAGAACGGATGACTCAAGTTTAAACTGGAGTATGTGTGTATAAAATATAGTAATTAGTTGTACATAAATATATGTACACACACATATGCTTAATAGAATATATTTATCCTCTAAATCTATATGCAATTCTCCTGATTTTTTTTTTTTTTTAAGACAGAGTCTCACTATGTCATCCTCGGTAGAGTGCCATGGTGTCACAGCTCACAGTAACCCCAAACTCTTGTGCTTAAGTGATTCTCTTGCCTCAGCCTCCCAAGTAGCTGGGACTACAGACAGCCACCATAATGCCTGGCTATTTTCTTGTAGCTGTCATTGTTGTTTAATAGGCCCAGGCCAGGTCTGAACCTGCCAGCCCCTCTGTATGTGGCTGGGGCCCTAACCACTGAACTACTGGTGCCAAGCCATGACACATTTTTTTTAAGAGACACGCTCTGGCTCGGCGCCTATAGCTCAACCGGCTAAGGCGCCAGCCACGTACACCTAAGGTGGCGGGTTCGAATCCCCAGCCCAGACCCGCCAAAACAACAATGACAGCTGCAACCAAAAAATAGCTGGGCATTGTGGTGGGCGCCTGTGGTCCCAGCTACTTGGGAGGCGGAGGCAGGAGACTCGCTTGAGCCCAGGAGTGGGAGGTTGCTGTGAGCTGTAATGCCACGGCACTCTACCCAGGGGGACAGCTTGAGGCTCTGTCTCAAAAAAAAAAAAAAAAAAAAAGAGACACGCTCTGTCACCCAGGCTAGTGTGTAGTGGTGGTGTGATCATAGGTTGCTGCAGCCTTGAACTCTCTGGGCTCAAGCAATCCTTCCACATCAACCTCCCAAAGTGCTGAGATAATAAGCATGAGCCACCATACATGGCCTTTAAACACTTTTTTTTTTTAAAAAATACTTTATTTATTTATTTTTTATTGGTCGGGGCTGGGTTTGAACCCACCACCTCTGGTATACGGGGCTAGCACCCTACTCCTTGAGCTACAGGTGCTGCCCCTAAACACTTTTTGATTAATTACTTTGTCTCCCACGTTCTGAGTCAAGAGCCATTAAAATATTTTTCTTAATAGAAACTCATAAACTTAGACAAACTAAATCACCCTGCCAGGAAGTAATCATCTTCTGTGAACCTTCAAAAAGCAAATTATAAATTTAAGGATGAAAACAAGCTGTTCTTGACTTATCATTGTTATCTAAAATAATTCAATTGCTTTATCTTTGAAATTTCCTGAGGGCAGGCACCTTGATTTTATATTTTTGTTTCCTAATTTCTAGAGCAGTACCAAGCACACAGACAATGCTTTTAACAAATGTCACTGAATAAAGAAATGGCTGAATGAATGGTGAATGAATGAAGATTGCATTACTTCTCTTGAAATTCTCCGGAGATTCCTTGCCTAGGTAACTCTACTGCTTTCTGGTTTAAGAAATAGTGGAATACTTATTTTTTAAAAATGTTAAATATAAAGCTTTTGTGTGTTTTCTGAAAAGTCACTTGAATATTTTTCCTGCTATTGATTTTACAAATGCTCATCATGCCTCTCTTTCTAAACCATATTTAATTACCATTTCTTATTTCTAGGTGCTCAGACTATGAGAACCCAGCAAGCAGGGATTATCATCTTTGAACTCCTTCATAGAATTAACCACAGTGTCATGATAGTAGGCACTTGATAAATATTACTGACTGAATGAAAAAATTCAATCTGACCATTTTGATTTAAAGAATTTCTCTCTGAAGAGTTTCTTATTCTCACAGAAAATCTTCCTCTTCCAGTTGTACCTTCTGCTGTAATCGGTCTCACTGCAGCATCACTGCGAATTTCTGAATCTCCCTGAACAGAGGCCATCAAGACAGATGAGGATGGTGTTGTCCCATGGTTGATGCTCCTTTCACAAACAATATTTGCTCTATCACTAAGACCTAATTAAAATGTTATTCCCCCATATTTCTCTGAGGACTAAGCTGAGGGTGATTTTTCCAGGTTTCTAATCTCTTAAATTGCTTGTGTCAAAATATTTCCCCATGGCCATTATTGGTAACACCTTGAAATAACTGAATTATGCCAGAGAGGAAACTCACTTGCGTGGAAAGCCCTTGCCTCTGGATGTGTAGCAAAATAGCTCTTAACACTTAAGAAACAGAATCTTTTCTGCTTTGTGAACCAGTGAAAATCTAATAAAAGTGTGTCTCCCTTGGGTATTTTACATCATTAGCAGCCTGGCTTCACACTTTGCTTTAACAAGTAACTTATTTTAAAAATTTCTCCAGGGAGAAGACAGAGAGCCAAAAATACCTCGGAAGAAAACTTTACCTAGCAACCTGATAAAGCAGTTTCACACAGTTTCTAAAATTTATCTTCATGCAGTAAAGCCTTTGTGAATTTTTAATTTCTGATTTGGGGATGTACTGAGACAGCTTCATGGCCAAGCCAGAAGAAAAAAAAGGAATGCCTTACATGTGAGTAGCACTTTATTGTTTTCATGGTACATTCCTTATGAGCATACTGCTATCACTGATCATTTATTACATGCCAGGATAAAGCTTTACATATGAACATAGAACTTAATCTTTGCCACAACCTTATAAAATAATAACTATTACAAATCCCATTTTACTAATAGAAAAACAGGTTTATAGGGGTTAAATACTTTTCCCAAAGTTGTATAGTCAATAAGTGACTGAACCTGGATCTTTTACCTGATCTTAAAATTCACATACCAACTTCACTTGGTAAGAAGTATTTCCCTGCCAGGAAGTAATCGTCTTCTGTGAGCTTTCCAAAAAGCACCTCCCCTCCCCTTCCCTTCCCTTCCCT